GAAAACACAGCATATGAAATTCACCCTCGTACACAGGCGTTGATCAACATGCAAAGAGGTGCAAAGGGCTCATACTGCTTCTCTGTGTGGAACTGAGCTTCCTATAAAGTGCATTGTACAGCTAATTATGTGTGCACGAAGCTAAGTAATAACCCACACATTGATCATGTGAGAGGAAATCATGGACAGAACAGGCACTAGGAAGCTTAAGGGAAAGGAAACCTAACAAGACTCTAAATACCAGTGACCTTCAGTGTACTCAGACTTCCTAGCTCCTTTTCAGACCACTTCAAAGAAGTCTTTTGCTGTTAGCGTGCACATTTGAAAAGTGTTAATTTAAATGTAAAAAGCCAGGAGTTGTCAAGGATTCTCTGTATTGTATGTGCAGTACTTGAATTACAGAGTCTTTGGCAACTACATTACAGTGGCTTCAGGGCAGCTCAAAACACAAGCGTCACCAAGGAGTGGAAAACTTCTCCTTGTAAACAGCAGATGGGCAGCTAGACTGGAGCTGTATTTTCTGCTCACTGCAGGTTTGCAGAACAGCCTCAGGCTGCCCACTGGACACTGCAAGTTAATGGTACTCCAAACCACTGCTTTACTTGAGATGGGACTGTGTCAGCTAGAGCTAGACTGTGCCTAATGTGATTTTTCCTTCACAAGCTGGAAAAAAAAAGCTAACATATTTCAATCTGCATTCACCTGGAGAAGTGTTTTTTTAGCATTTTATGTTTTGTGCCATTACAATAAAGCACTAAACAATGAATTACTTTTCATAGCTTTGTGTTGCAAGTGATTTTATATAACTGGGATTGAAAAACCAAACTACTGTATAACATCAAGCACTCCAGAGCAAAGTGTCCTGGATCTCTGCTCCACCTTCAGCAAACTCAGCACACAAAGTAGCATACAGAACAGTGAAACAGTCAAGTCCTCCCTCACACAGAAAGAAAAGTCGTCAGGGTTAGTTCCTGCAGCCTTTAGGGGAACCAGTCCAACCTCTGAATTGTAGCCATCATTGTGGCTACCCAACCTGCCAGCTTGTTTTGCTGCTATCACAGATAAGTATGGGTCTTAAGAAACCAAATTCTTCTCTCCAAACATCCTCTAAAGCAAAGACAAAAGTCTCTTTTCAACTACTGCACCACAGCCTGGGAACTAAGGCAGAGCTGAGGTCATTGCTTCTCCCTTGGTTTGACTTCATGCAATGAAGAAGAGAAATAAAACCTCGTTTACAATCCCAGCATTTCCTATCATTGTTTCAAAGACCTAGAGGAAATTACAGACATTCTAGTAACCTGACTCCATGGGACTTGCCTGTTTCCTGTGGTAAATAAGCCCTCAACCCCTTTTCCCCCTTTTAAAGCAGTGGAGTATGAATCTCACCTATCTTTGGTGCCACAGGCCTGTGAGCTGCAGGTCTCTGCTGTCTTCTGCACCACCTGTGCTCTGTGAAGGTAAAGAGGGATCCACATGCCAAGTGCCCCTGTGGCAAAGGACACAGCTGAGGTGGCCAATGAGGAGAACACATAGCTGCGGCTGTGGAGGCACAAGAGGCAAAATCAAGAGAAGGTTTAGGAGAAGTGAAAAAGCAGGAGCCTCACAACAAGAGCCAGTGCTTCAGTGACAAAACACAGTGTTCCCCCATAGTGGCCACCTCCCTTTGCCAAGGGGCAGAGATGATACAAGCTACAAAATATTGGAGAATAAGAGGCATGGAATATTTCTTCATATGTGATGCTCCATTGATAATAATGTACTTCAGAGGTGCTTCATAGAGACCATTGTTTCATGGCACCATTTCAGAAGACAATCAGTACTTGGCCACTAAGACAGGATGTGTTAATCGCAGGGTTTTCACTGTAGTATCACCTGTTTACCTGGATGACCAGTTTCACTTCTCACTCACTATTCATACCACCATATGACTACTTGAATAAACCACCAAAATAAGTAATATAAAAATAGTGATAAATTAACCATCATCATTTTTCATAGTCCTTTGATACTGAATGACAACACCAGGAAGGCATTCTAAAAATGAAGGACACCACAAGTTTCCCATCAGAATTCCAATGTAACACTGAATTTTTAAGGGCAATTTTTAGCACACTCACAGGCAAGCTTTCTGGATACAAGTAAGCTACTTAAACACTTGAGAGCATGCAATATTTTATGCACATATACAAGCACCCAAGCACATTCAGTGCTCATGCATTTAGTCACACGTGGTTGTATAAACCTACGTATTTAAACTTGCTATTAGTGTAAGCTTTTGTGTATTTTCTCCTCTTAAATGGCTCTAGCACTTAACCCTCTTTTTCCCCCTCAGCAAAGTCACTCTTTCAAGGAAGAAAAAGGATCTAAGCATCTGAACAACAGTGAGACAACAATTAATGGACTAACACAGCAATTTCTACACTTCAAAAGCTTTGATTTGACTGAAGTATGAGCCAAACAAAGCAGACTCTTAGATCTTAATCTTGGAAAAGTTAGAGCAAAAGTTGGACTCCATCACTGTCATTGCAGTTGATACCTCGTGAGAATGTAACTGATTTTCTTTCCTAGGTCCACAGACTAAGCTCCCTGCAGCTCTGTATTGCCACTTTCCAGTCTCACAGTGCTAAGTAATATGGGTCATGGGATGTTCCAATTAAGCACTAGAGGCAAAGCATGCTTTTTATGGGAGTGCTCTTACTTTCTAATCAGAGCTTTCATGTCTCTCAGCCACGAGGTCCGAGCCTTCAGCTGTCCTCCAAGTTGTTCAACATTTCCTCTTTTAGCAGCAGGTACAAATATCAAGATGAGTGTTCCTGTTATCATTCCCAGGAGCGGAGATACCTGCAAGAAAGGATCAGGGAATTAGCACAGAAGTCAGGAGGGTTTGCTTTGACAAAGTCAGTAAGAAGCAGATTACATTAGTTTCATTTAGTGACTGGATTCTTTACAGCTAGCCTGAATCTGTGAGCACCTGACGCATCTGCTCCTTTCCTTCCTCCCTGTCATTCCCTGGACTCTCTTATCTCACTCTGGAAGCATGCAGCTTTGAGAACACTCTGATTAAGGCAGTCCATTTCTTTGTGTCACTGAAGTACCAAGATTCAGCTAAATACAGTTCTTCAGTGATGTTTGCCTCTTTGGAAACCTACTCCCAGCTGGGCTAAGAGACCAACTAGATTCTGGGAGAGTGCAGGAGCCTTTTAAAGGCTATGGAGTCAGGTGAAAGATTTCTGGAGGCAGAGAGCATGCTGGCTTTGAAAATCCTTGCTTGACATGCATTCCTCTTCCAGCTAACCCACAATGGCTTCCCATTTCCAGGCAGCTTTCTCAGATCACCTCAGTGTACAGCAGGCCAAGAAACATTGGAAATTCAGGCTAGAAGATAGGAAAACAACACGTTCAAGGGTTAGGTTTCCCAGTTTCCAATCCTGTCTCCCAAATACCAGACAAAAATACAAAGACCCCACCATGTTTTGCAAGCTACAAACATGATTCTTGTTTTGACACTGAAATTCCACCACTGCCAGAATGGAAAATAGCTGTTAGGAAAATAAGACCATGGATTTTCACTAAACTATCATCTCTTCTATAAATTTTATTTTACAAATAAATTCCTATTCCAAAATAAATATGCTTCCAATAATAACCTGAGAATGGTCTTTACTCATAGAGCAGCGTTTCATGGCCAAAGATGAGAAACCCAGAATTCTTCTAGGGAAGCGAAGACAAGAAGAAAGTGAGGAAAATCCCTCATCCAGGGATAAATGAAGCCTGGTAATGTATCCTTATTATGCTTGAACACAAGATACAACACTGGTAAAGACACATGTAAATGCTGGGATCTTCTAGGGTCATGTAATATAAAGTCTCTTTGATTTTTATCTAAAGGCTTAATCCCCCAATAGGACAATATCTGTTGATACTCAGTAGTGCTCCAGTGAAACACTGACATTACTGCTAGATCCAGAGACAAAGCTGCCACTTCCCAATGTGCCCTTTGGTCTTCTTCAGCCCACTGAGGTATAGATGATTCCTGACCTTTCCTGGATTTGGAGACCACAGGAGATCACAGAGGGAGGCATCCCTATCACAGCTTGCAAGAGCACAGTAATTGCCACAGGGACAGAGGCTGCTTTACACTGATGTCTGGAAGTTTCAACTTGTGCTGTTTGACTACAAGAACTAAGCAATGCTGTCCAAAATAACCATCACAAAAGTGTGCAGCCTGTCAGACTCCTGTGATTCTGCACAGTCAGGGAATCATGCGTCAATGCGTCATTTATCATGACCCCATAAAGGGTCTTTCAGATAGCCTGGATTTCTCAGGATAACTATGGAAACTTCATCTGAAGAGAAAGATGCTAGTGAGCATTTTTTTGCACAAACTAATCATTTGGGGTTTACGGCTAGAAACACAGGAACACTTGTGCCGATATACCAACCCCACTGCAGCCCACTGACAGGAGGAGGGGCTTTGAGGTTTCTTATTCCTTGAGTTTGCCTCTGCTAAAAGTTAATTTTACCCTTGAAGTATTTCTGCTACCGGATGAGGTGGCCATCCTCTTGATGTGAAGCTGGAAGTTATTAAACTTTTCATTTCAGATTCACAGCTGGAATCTGTGAATCTCTGCTCTCCTATGGGCAGATGAACTGTTCATGGTGATTTTCCTGGCTCTGCTCATGCTTGGTGGACAATGAGGGAATGGCCTGTGTCACAGAAAGGCACATTTGCTTGAGGTGAGAACCCATGTATTTCACCACCTGCCATTATAAATGGTGTTGGCTTGAACTTCATGAGATTCATTGTCTTCACCAAATGCCAGAGCCAGGGAATGCACCTCACAGCGGCTCATGCCACCCACACTGCCAAAGGTCAGAAAACAGTTCTGCTGGGCCACTTCCTCTCAGCTCTTTCAAGACATCTTTGTCTGCAGGACCTGTTTGTGTGTATGTGATTGGAGTGTATTATCTTTTCAACACATTTATCAAGGTCCCAAGAGGTTAAAATAGAAGGAAACCGACTGTCTCAGGGCAGAAAAACAAGCGGAAACTGGAACAAAGTGTTTTTTCCTCAAAGCAGGAAGCCATTCTCAGAGTTTCTTGACAGCAAGGGACTAGAAGACTGTGGAGTTGATTTAAGGCCAATGCCTCTTCTTCCCAATCCCATCAAGAAATCATGGTTACCTGATAATAAAGTGATCGGAAAATTCTTGCTCCCAGGCAGGGCAAAACACAACTACAATGTGCCAAACCCACATACCTTTCCCATTTGCTTAGAGAATGCATCTGCTATGCACTTAATATCCATAGATGTCATTTCCAGTCCTTTACCCTCTATATTTAATGACAGGAATTGTGTGACAGAATTCTTCCTAACACTGATCTACCCATGCAACTCTTATTAAGATGTTTTAAGAGTGGCTTACCCGCAATGCCCAGTGCCAGTCGCCAGCAACCTGCTTCACGCTTGACCCAGTGATGTATCCCAAGCCACTGCAAGAAATACAAAGATGAGTGAGTCAGAGCTTCAACAAGGCACCACAATCTCAACGTTCTTAAACCAAGATAAACAAGCACAATCAGCTGTGTGTCCTCTGCTCTCTTCTCCTGCAGAAGAAACACAGGCAGATGAAGCAGATGGTGGCTGTGTAACTTTTCCTGGCACTGTTGATCTAAAAATGCTCAGATCTGATGGAAATTTGGTCTCTGATCTCAAGTTTTAGCTGACCTTTCAATCTGCAGTGAATAGAAACAAAGCCTCAAAAAGAATTTATTTCCCAATTTAATTCCTACATCAGGCCTTTCTGTGCACTAATACGAATAGTTGGCAATTTTATGTTCGAGCTCTCAGTTTAGAAGTGCCCTTCAACGACACACCATATTCCATTATTTCTTTTTTCTTTTTTTTTGCCATTTAATAGTACTTGGTACTAATTATTCATGAAGAGACCATTTTCCATAAGCCTGTGAGAAAAACCAGGAAGAAAATGGAAGACAGTCTGATTGGAGAACATCAGACCTGAAATTTGGAAATCCAAGATAAAGAAGCACCAGGACCTTCACCCACATGCTAAGAATCACACTGTGGTAACAAAAGGTGGTTCACGAGAGAGTAGATCCAGGTGACTGTAGCTATATATCTCTCATAGTGAACTGAACAGATAGAAATGTTCTTTTTTTTCAAAATTCAGCCATCATATGCCCTTATTGAATAGTTTGCTCAGTTTTGGATATTGCCATCTACAATTACCCCAAAGCTGGTCTTGTTACACAGAGCAGCCCCAAAATCAAACCATGGATCCACACTTCTGCTGGATATTGAGATAATTCCATTCCAGAACCAGGCTCAACAGGATGAATACTTATTTTGTGCTAGCTATAGTTCACTGAATTCTAAATAACTGTCATCCTTGGCCCTCTTGGGCCATTCACCAGTTAAGGACTTGGCTATCTCTTTGTCCTCAAAAGCCAAGGGATGTTTGTGAGTTTTATCTCAGGGATGTGTGCTCTAACTTGTAAAATTCACCACCTTAAACCAGAAGTTTTTCCCTGAGTTGTGTGAGATCAAACTGCTGCCCATGTTTTCCCTGCTGGAAATGAACCCATAATGACACTTTTGCACAGGTTGTTGTTCATCTCTGGAATTCAGTATGGAAACTATGTGAACCCACTCTGCCTACAACTTCATGATAGAGGCTCAGCTATAATAACAACAACAACAACAACAACAACAATAATAATAATAATAATAATAATAATGATAACAACAACAACAATAACAACAACAACAACAACAGATTCCCTCCTGTCCCAACAATCAGGTATTGCACTGGACTGATAAGGGAACTCAACTGAAAGAAAGTGCCAGAGGAAACAACTACTCCAAATCTGAGTGTCTCTTGCTTTCATCAAACATCTATGAGCTTGGTTTTCCTCCACTGCTCTGCTTTAAGAACTGAGTATCTTAAGAATGATCATTACAGCTTTTCAGCCTTGTTGCCTACACTAGGATTCACCATTTCTCCTAATTGCTGTTTCAGTGGCAACAGCACCAAACTGAACGGGCCACTGCTACTGCAACTATCAACACATCTAAGATTGGCTTAGCTGCGTTTTCCAAACTTAATCAGACTGGCCAAATTCAAGGTTGGAAAGAATTTTAGCTTGAATTAAACTAATTTTTCAAGTCAAAATGTCAAGTTGTGCATGTTGTATAGCACATTCCTCTTGAAACCTCTGATATTTAGATTGGCACACAGAAGCAGGTACCCATTTGCTTACTTTTGAAAGCTCAGCTCAGTGTCTCAAGGGATCTGGATTTGACAGTAACCTGAAAGAAATCATCTGAAGAAGGCCTAGACCTCACATGAACTGAAGCAATGATTCACGGAACCAATATAACATTATTCAAAATAATAATAATGCTAAAAAAAGTCAGCTAAAATACTTTGATTCCATTTCCAGCCCATTGCTGTAAGAAAAAAATATCCTTCCCACTAATTCCCCAAAGTCACACGTGAACCAATAACAGGGCTAGGAAAAGAATCCAATTCCTGCAACTAGATAGTCACTGCTCACAATATTTTCCCATCTAAACCATTCCAACCAAAGACAGAACTATCATCTTTAGCTACTCAAGATATGTGCCAGCTTACTTACCTGCCAAGAGGAATTGCAAAGTAGAAAACAGACAGCATAAGGGTCCGTGTGTTCTTGGTGAACAGGTCTCCTATGATGGTGGGTGCAATAGTGGAGTAACTTGCTTCACCAATGCCGACCAAGCCTCGGGACAGCACAAGAAGCCAGAAATACTGAGAAAAGAAATAAAACTCATTAGTGGGTGTCCCATTGGCTGTTTTGATTGAGGATGGACAACAGCAAAATCTGTGAAACAGGAAATCTAAACCCTTGTGACTCCAAAGTGATCCTCTTGTATGCGTTTCTTTTTAAAAACCTCAGACTCATTCCATTTATCTCTTGATGGGAGCAAAGGGATTATATTTTATGTGAGGATTTATAGGCATGAAAGAAAAGAAATAATACTACATGTTTAATCAGTGACACTCAAGGAGATACTTTAACGCAGACAGAAGCCCCTCAGTTTGTTCTCAGGATGCAGCTCACTTGTTAAGCCCAAGTGCAACACTGCACTGACAGAGGAAGGTTTGAAGAGGCAGGTGAGTGTAACAGATCCTGCTCTGGGATCCAGGAAAAGCACAGTTCCAGCCTCCCCAGCACACCAAAGGGCAGGTTAAGACTGGTGAAATCCTAAATGCTCTTCAAAGCTGTGAGAGGTGAACCTGAAATCCCCCAAAGTCTACATTTTGTCCTTCATTAGAAGCTACTCCACTTTCCTTTAACAGGCCCATATAACCTCTCATAGCAGGGTAAGGCAAAGGCATGGGCTGCAACAGGCATTAAGCTTGCCAGAGCCTCTTTAAATAAAAGGCGGTCCAACAGAAAAGAGAGATGGACTTTGCATTCAGCACAAGACAGCCTAAAACAGACAAAAAGGAATCGTTCATCTGACAATCTTCTGCATCTTCTCCCATTTCCCTCTTTCAGCCAACACTTTGTAAAACGCAAGGACCTGATTTTCAAGTCAACCTTTTTCACTACACTTGCAGTTTTCTGGCTGCTGTTGTGTGAAGGCATAAAGCACAATACTTTGATGCCTAAATACTTGATATGTGAGCACAATCAAGTTCTCAGACTCTCTTAGCTTGAACTACACCCTTCTTCAGACGGGAAGAAGTTGAATTAAAGGGAAGCGACAGACTCTGTGCCCTACAGCAAAGCTAAGACAGAGTACAGAGCTCTCATCTGTAAATGTGGAAAATGCCATGCAGCCATCAAGCCACGTGCCTCAGTCATAAACACATCCATCAGGAGACAAAAATCTACCCCTGACACGTTTGCTTTGTTTTCCTCACTGTAATCCCTGGTTGAAAGAATTTCTTGAGGATTCCTGTAGTCACACAAAACAAATACTTTTGCACACTCTTCACTTCCTCTTATTTTGATGCAAATTCTGCTCCAATACTTATTTTCTGAGTGTGTACAAGTTCCTGGTTTGCTGGCAGGGTGTTTGCAGTGCTGCTATCATTCATCTACCTCCCATAAGCTGCACATACGTAACAGAGACCTGTGGGTGTATGCAGAAAGGCCAATACTGTGACTCAAACCATTTAATTTATGCCAATTACCCAATGCTGAACCACTCCACTGCAGAAATATGCTGACAATGATTGCTGCACAGGTAACCAATGCATTTGGAATGAGGAACAGTATTTCTAACGTGCTGAATGAATTAAGTCATGCAGAATTAGAAAACGGGAACTGAAGACTGATTTTGGTTTCTTAAGAGGTTCAGATCTGGACCCTGCCAGCACCACAGACAGGGTGACAGGCAAAATAGTCATCTGCCAGAGCTGGAATGAGTAGGCAGACAGTGCTAGTTACACCTGTAGAATGACAAATTTGCAAGTGCACTGGATCTTCCTAAAATTTGAAATACCTACATAAAAATGACACAAGGTTGTGCTCACCAGACAGCATCATCCCCAGTGAATGCACTGGACAGGAATTTCCTCCAAATAATGCTGTTACAAGGTTCCTCTTACAGTCGTTGCATAAAGCGGGAAAACTAAAGTTTTCCTATTGTGGTAAAGAGTGACTTGGTTTCATCAATACCACTGAATCAGAGTCCCAGTACAATGAAACCATCTGCAACAAGTAACATGTTCATTCTTCTTCCCTACTTCCTCCCTGAACCCTCCTCCCTGGTTTGTCCCATGCTTACACGCTCCAAATACCTGTTTAATATTTAAACTATGTTCTCTAAAGCAGCAGTATCCAAATTTAAGTCATAAGATTCTGGGTTCTGTTGGCAATAAAAGCAGTCTTACAAAAGCATAATCTACATAAAAACATGAATGGTATTGCCCTTCTAAAATTATGTATTAAAGACTATGGACAATGCAGCTATTTAGGTGTAACAACTAGGCAAAACATACTAAAATCCAAAAGAATATTAAGGAATTACTTATAGTTGATTCTATGTTGTGCCTAGTTTTTGAGTTCTCTATCTACGATTAAAGAGCTAATGCCTCTTCTCCTGCTG